CTACCCTGTGCTTTGTTTACTCATTGCCCGCGGTATTAACCCAAGAGCGGTATCGTACGTAAAATTTACATGAGGTTTGTAGCGAAAGGGCTCTCTCCACTAATTCTTTTGAGTCACGATCTTGAGCTTTCAGCAGTGCCTCAGGAAACATCCACTTGTGATGATTTGTAGGTGCCAAAGTTGCAACTATTTAGCAAAAGAACATGTAGCTCGATTTTGAAAAGTATACACGTAAAAAATACGCATTGATACCAATGAGTAGTTATTTGTTGTACGTTTATCTGACGTGTCGCCAAGCTTAAAATTTTAGGCTTCGCTTATTTCTAAACGACTGTCGGGGCTAATGGCTCTTTGTGTCTTTTACAATGTGATAAACATCGCTTGCATCAATTCATAAATAATTTAGTCACACAATGTTGAAGCATTAGGTGGTAAAACTTTAACACGTTTTGAGTACTTCACAAAAGTCTTATTAAACCATGGCAATCACAACGTCAACAAATATGATACCTAAGTACTGTAAGTGCAGTAGATATTAAAGACGCCTTTATACTCAGTACAAATATCGAAGGGTAGGGGATCAAAAAGGGACCTGAGAAATATTGCCACCTTTGTCCTACACTAAAGGAAAGAATGGCAACTAAGTATTGCCTAAAATGTACCAAAACAGTATGTGAGGAATACCAAATAAATATATGCACGTGTTTCAAAGAAATCAAATGAAAAAATGTTCTCTTTATTTTCAAATTCAGTAACTGTAATTTTTTTATTTTAAAATACTGTTTTATTATTAAAAAATGTTAAAAACACTATTTTATATCCCGATTAACAAAGCCTAATGAAACAGGTAGTTTTACAAAGTATACATGTAAAAATGTGCAAATGCGTAAATATTAGATTATATTGACAAGGGGGGTAGCCATGTGTGAGTTGAGGTAATTTTAAGGTGAAGGGTGAGAAAAAGTCCTTTATATCTCACAAGGAAAGTCAATGTTTAATTGTTTAACAAAACATTGAGTGCGACCGGTTTCGAAGTGTCATCACTTCATCTTCAGGCTCGCCTAGTGGGTAGGAGAATATGTGGTGTAAGGTGTGTTAACTTGGAAACAAAACGATATATAAAATAATAAAAAGAGAAAACTCACCATACTCTCCATCCACTAGGGAATACTACAAAAACAAGTTTCATCAATTTTGGGTTGAAATAAATTGTAAAATGAACCGATTTACACGTAATAAAAAGTTAAAAATATTTGAAAAAACAAATATTAGTCAATTATAGTAAAAATTTTAAAATATTCAAGACTATACAAAAACAAATCACATACATTAAACAGATTAAAAGATAAGGCCTATTTTAAACATTGTTGTTTTTTAAAAAAACTAACATTTTTTGAAAGGAGACCTGTCAAGTTAAGGCCTCTACAGGTGGTGGTAAGTATTATAACGAAAATTCTTGGGTAAACTTATCACAGGGTATAGTTAATAAGATGTAAACTATGAGTGAAGAATTATTTATTATCTATTATATAAGATTTGGGCCATGAACCAATCACCAAGTGTATGTGATGTTGTAGGAAGAAGAAAGAAGAAGAAATGACTGGGTTAACTGTTGTGAAGCAACTGAAGAATAAAATGGGAAAATGACGTATGTGGATATCAGACAATCTAACCTAATCTTTACATGTGCTCGTTGGTTTCTTATGGGAAAAAATATAAAAAAATATAAAATTACTTACTGAAATGTACCCCTTGCAAGAAGATATGTGAATAGAAATAAAGGGGGGAGGTTAAAAAGGAAGTTAGAACGATAAATTTAGATTAGTGTTGAGAAAACAGGAGGAGTTTCTGACAATATCTGGGCATTTAAGCAACCAACAGGATTTAATTTTAAATGTCTCAATATCTCGAGGTTTTCGAAGCTATTAAGAGTAAATCTATTGTAGGAACTATGAAGGATTTCGAAACCTTCAGTTGAATCGAAGTCGTGATTTGAGTCCAGTAGGTGGTTGGCAAAATGTGAAAAACCTGTTGTATTTTGGTTAAGACAACGTAAATGTTCTTTTAAACGGATCTTGAAATTTCGAAATGTGCGTCCCACATAGAAAGAATGGCAAGATTTACAAGTTAATTTATAAATTCCAGATAAGTTAAAGGGATCTAATTTATCTTTATAGATAGTAAAGATAAATTAGATCCCTTTGACTTATCTGGAATTTATAAATTAACTTGTAAATCTTGCCATTCTTTCTATGTGGGACGCACATTTCGAAATTTCAAGATCCGTTTAAAAGAACATTTACGTTGTCTTAACCAAAATACAACAGGTTTTTCACATTTTGCCAACCACCTACTGGACTCAAATCACGACTTCGATTCAACTGAAGGTTTCGAAATCCTTCATAGTTCCTACAATAGATTTACTCTTAATAGCTTCGAAAACCTCGAGATATTGAGACATTTAAAATTAAATCCTGTTGGTTGCTTAAATGCCCAGATATTGTCAGAAACTCCTCCTGTTTTCTCAACACTAATCTAAATTTATCGTTCTAACTTCCTTTTTAACCTACCCCCTTTATTTCTATTCACATATCTTCTTGCAAGGGGTACATTTCAGTAAGTAATTTTATATTTTTTTATATTTTTTCCCATAAGAAACCAACGAGCACGTGTAAAGATTAGGTTAGATTGTCTGATATCCACATACGTCATTTTCTTCTTTTATTCTTCAGTTGCTTCACAACAGTTAACCCAGTCATTTCTTCTTCTTTCTTCTTCCTACAACATCACATACACTTGGTGATTGGTTCATGGCCCAAATCTTATATAATAGATAATAAATAATTCTTCACTCATAGTTTACATCTTATTAACTATACCCTGTCATAAGTTTACCCAAGAATTTTCGTTATAATACTTACCACCACCTGTAGAGGCCTTAACTTGACAGGTCTCCTTTCAAAAAATGTTAGTTTTTTTAAAAAACAACAATGTTTAAAATAGGCCTTATCTTTTAATCTGTTTAATGTATGTGATTTGTTTTTGAATAATCTTGAATATTTTAAAATTTTTACTATAATTGACTAATATTTGTTTTTTCAAATATTTTTAACTTTTTATTACGTGTAAATCGGTTCATTTTACAATTTATTTCAACCCAAAATTGATGAAACTTGTTTTTGTAGTATTCCCTAGTGGATGGAGAGTATGGTGAGTTTTCTCTTTTTATTATTTTATATATCGTTTTGTTTCCAAGTTAACACACCTTACACCACATATTCTCCTTCCCACTAGGCGAGCCTGAAGATGAAGTGATGACACTTCGAAACCGGTCGCACTCAATGTTTTGTTAAACAATTAAACATTGACTTTCCTTGTGAGATATAAAGGACTTTTTCTCACCCTTCACCTTAAAATATTAGATTATAACTAAAATTAATTTTTTTCTAATAGTTGAAGTCCTTATTTATTTAATAGTGAAACTATACCTTACTGTGCAAATTTTTGAGAATTTTTTTTTTTTTAAATGTGAGTATTTGTACAGTGTCTTACGAGAAAGTAAGACTTTAACAACAATTTTCGAATTATAATTAAGTATACTATTATTTATTGATTAGATGGAGTAGAAAAAAACTAAAAATAAGGTTTTTGAAATATTTAGGTTTTGTTTTTTACAATAAAATATATAGGTTACCGTGGAATTTATTGAGAAATTAATATTAAAAAATCACAAAAAATTTTCAACTAGGTTACTTGAAATTTTTTATTAATATTAATTTCTCAATAAATTCCACGGTAACCTATATATTTTATTGCAGAAAACAAAACCTAAATATTTCAAAAACCTTATTTTTAGTTTTTTCTACTTCATCTAATCAATAAATAATAGTATAAATCGAGAATTGTTGTTGAGGTTTTACTTTTTTGTAAGAATCTGTACCAAAACAGTATGTGAGGAATACCAAATAAATATATGCACGTGTTTCAAAGAAATCAAATGAAAAAATGTTCTCACATTTAAAAAAAAAATTCTCAAAAATTTGCACGGTAAGGTATAGTTAAAAGTTCACTATTAGATAAATAAGAACTTCAACTATTAGAAAAAAAATATATTTTAGTCATAATCTAATATTTTTTATTTAACATTGGTGGCGAAAGGGTGGCGAAAGGACCTCCTTAAACGATACCGTTCTAGGGTTAAGTCTGCCGCTGGTGATATAGAGAAGACAAACGCACCGCTTGTCTAAACTACCAGAAAAAGTGATAAGTGGCCGTTGAGTCATAGAAATGGAATTCTCGGACATTCGACATCATCTAGAGAGTTCTAGTACAGAGTTGGCTTTATATAAATAGCGCGAGTTATCGACGGACGGCAGATTGAATTTAAGTTTTGGACAAAAAAGATAAATTGTAATAAATAAATTGGAATTATGAGTTTTATAATAGTGTTTGAGTATTATATAAATTAATTAGTACGTCATAAATAATTGGTAAATAGTGTATTTTTAATAAAAAAACTATAAATAAATTAAACAAACGATACCTTATTGAAAAAATTATTGAAAAAATTTATTAAAAAATTATTGAAAAATTTATTGAAATATTTATTGAAAAAATTATTAAAAAAATTACTGTAAAAATTATCTCATATAGTAATTTTTACCGATATATAAGTATCTTCAAATAAATCAGAATGGACATCAACAACAAAAAAGTTCGTTTACTTATGCCGTTAAATATCTAGAAATATATACAGGGTATTTCAAAAATGTATGTTATAAATTCTTCCTCAGATATATTACCAAAAAAATAAGTGGATTTGGCAATATTTATTTATATCAAAAACTGTGTTTTCGTGAATGTATACTTTTTGTAAATTTTCTGGAATATTTATATATTTATATATACATTTTTAAATAGATTATTTCAAATTACTATAATCAACTATACATATTTTTAAAATATTAAAAAAAAAAACATTATTTTCAATCTTGTTTTAGGGTAGGAATAGCGGCAGGACAATATGGATACCCAAGCTATCAAAAAAATACAGGAATATTTCCAAAAGACTTTTTATTTGGGGTAGCAACATCGGCATATCAAATAGAAGGAGCATGGAATGAAGATGGAAAAGGTCCTAGTATCTGGGATGATTTTACACACAAAAGGCCGGCGTCAATATTAGATGGCAGCAATGCAGATGTTGCTTGCGACTCCTATCACAGATATAAGGAAGATGTTTTCTTAGCTTATAATCTTGGCGTGAAAATGTACAGATTTTCCTTTTCTTGGTCAAGGTATGAATAAATTATACTCCTAATTATTAAAATCAACAAATTATTACATTTCAAAGCTACTTTCATCGGCTTAAAAAATGCCACGTCCAACGTTTGGCATATATGCGTCGAATTTGGCACAAGACAAACGAAGGAAATATTATTCTCTTCACATAAACGAATAATAGATTCGCTAAAATGCGACCCTAAATTGTCACCAATTAGTACCTTTCTTCCTTCTAATCTTCGAGCATGTGGTAAAAAGCTAGTTTCATACCAATCCTGGAATGTGTTGGTGTCTATCCATCCATGGGATGTCCTAATAAATCTACATCCAGTTACCCAACATGGTTTGTCACAACATGGGTAACATTTAATGCCTCCTTCCTTCCAGGTGTTATATAAGTGCTCAAATTGTTATTTTTTAATACAATACACCTTTAATATTTTCTATCCCACAACGAATAAAGTAAATGTTTCTTGGTTTTCAGAATTTTCCCAACTGGTTACAACAACAAAATTAACTACAAAGGAGTACAATACTATAAAAATCTCCTAAAAGAAATTCTAAAATATGGCATGATTCCTGTAGGAACGATCTACCACTGGGATCTTCCACAAAACTTAATGAATGACGGTATTCATTGGACCAACCCGGAAATTATACGCGTTATGTTGGATTATTCCAGATTTCTTTTTAAAACATATCCAGAAGTTGGAATTTGGATAACAATTAACGAACCGCATTGGCTCTGTCGACTGGGTTACAGTCTTGGTACCGGCGCACCTGGTATTGTCAGCAATGGTAGAGAAGAATACAAATGCACTTATCTAGCTGTTAAAACTCATGCTGCAATATATCGAATGTACAAAAAAGAGTTTCCACATTATAGAGGTAAAACTTTTTATCTATTTTATTGTATAGTTTTGCAATTTTAATATCTAATAATTGAAATATAAAATTACCTTTCTGAAAAGTTTGAGCGGAAATATTTTAGCACGTTTAAGATAAAATTTTATTAACAAAATCAAAAAATAAATTTTAAGTACTCGATAATTGTTCCATAAAAATTAGTTAATAACTAAGAAACAAAGAACGTATGGCATGTTTTTAAGATTTTTTTTAATATAAGTATCTCTTTCTTACTACCTACAAAACAACGAAAATAATGTTAAAATTTCAACGCTAAAATTTCTTTGCTTGTCAGTCTCAGCATCCGATAACCCTGCAACTCTTAGCTTATTGCATTTTGTACAGGTTCTTTTTTGTGCTCTGTATTGCAATTGGGACAACATATGTTTGGCCGTTTGTGGTTCCTAATGACATAATCGCCACAATATACCAGTAAGGTTGTCATATCGATGGTTTGAGTGCGAAACGTCGTAACCTCAAAAATTAAATTTTACCAGGGAATAAAAAAACCAAATAGACTTTAGAGGTAATTTTGAATGTATATGCTTGTTTAAGTATTACCTAATATTTAATAATACATTTTCATTATAATTTATAATTTATACTAAAAATAGTGGGTTACGATGTTTTACGGACTATTGTGACTTACATCATTTTGGATTATAAAAATAAAAACATTAGTGGGTAATTTTTAGAAACGTATTTTATTGCAAAAAAAAATAAACATGTTTTCTACGTTTTTTTTTTATAGAAAAATAAAACAAATATTATTCTTGCTTTTAGTCAGAAAACGAAATTTCATCATAGAATTTCTTAACTTCATTTGGTATACCTTCAGTACGTTACTGAAGATGTTGATATATCTTCTTAGATATAGGAATTCTGTGTTTATATAACGGATGTTTAGTAAAGGGTACAACGGATTGATTTGGTCTATAGATAACTAATAATTTAATTCGCCGAGTACTTTAAATATTTTAAATCGTGCGTAAGGTAATGTACTTCGAATGGTGACGGATTCTTTCTTGCTTCCTTAATTAAACGTGAATACTGACTAAGAAGGTGAATCTCTCATCCCTTTAACTTTCTTTCAATTAAGGCACGCGCTAAATCTACTTCCACCTGGGTGTGGCCTTTTTCTAAAAATGTTTAAAAAATTGTTACATTATGTTTCACCGCAAAATAACAAGGGTATTTTCCAGTGTCACATTTCTGTTCTGATACCCACAACCATCTGAATATTGGCTAATTCTCGGATGGGCAAAATTTCTCTAAATCTGTTAAAATGCAGGAAACGAAAATTGATGCAACAAGTTCCTCTTTAGTTTCGTTCCAGCAATAACTAACGTAATGATGATCATTTAAATTATAAATTAAAAAGTTATGGACTTGCTGTTTACTTTTAAAGTAAAGTTTACTGACATACAGCATAGGACAAAACTTGACTGTCTGTACATCCATACATCCATAGTAAACCAATTACATTCTCCTTTTATAGCAGCTTCCTTATCTCTGCTTTTCTCATTTCTTGCTTGTTCTTTCTTAGCAACATGAATATTGTATTCATCTTCGGTTATTTTCCCGACTTTATAAGAACACCAAAATTTACATTGATCTTTTTTTGGTATGTAAATTGAAATATTCATTTCCAAGACCAAGAATGGTCATGAACGAACAAATAGACAGTGGTAAACTTTGCCTTTTTCCACAATGATTTTTTTATAACTCATACAATTCGGTTTTATTTTTGAAATTTTCTTCTAGGAATAATTTTTTTGTATCTGATCTCCAATAGTGCGACGGCAACTTCGCTACTGAATTAATAAAGTCATTCATAAAGTTTTTCTTTTCGTGATCGTTTTTCTGTTTTGTGGTTCTCTCTTTTATTCCCAGTGTATTAATAAACATCTTTTTGCATACTTTAATTTTTTCATTATCTATTTGGAGATAATAATAGAATGTTCTCTGTCTTCTGGAAGGTCCCTGAACATAACATTTCTTTTTCATTTCATATTTTACGAGAGATCTTACGTAAAATTTCTTTTTTTCTGGGTGTAATTCCAAAAACATATTAAAAATATCGTTTCTTTTTTCTTCAATAACTTTCTTACATGATCTTCCAAAAGTACAATTACATATAGCATATAATTTTCTGGCACTTCTTTTAATGTTTCCCTGTTTATTTTTCAGTACATATTCTTTTCCTTTTATCCTCAGTTTCTTATTTACCATTCTCTTCCAAACAGTGGTAGTTACTCTTCCGTTTTTTTTTGATTTCTTGGGTTTGTATTTATGTACGGGTAATATCTAACTGAATACTTTCACTATCTTTACTAGATTCTAAATTAATAGGTTAGTCCTCCGGTAAGTATTCATCACCTTCTGATTCAAATCCTTGTTCTTCTTTTTGATTCTCTTCCTATAAAACTATTTTTTTTGCTGCATTGAGGCTTGGTTTTTTTTCTTTATCAGCAGATTCACTTGTTTTAAAATTTTCTGCTTTTATAACTTTCTCCGTTAGACCTATATCTTCTACTGAAGCAACTTCATGCATAAAATGCTGTGCAGGACTTTTGGTCTCTGTATCAAATTCCAACGAAGGGTTAATGTCCATATTGTTATCAAAAACTATTGAAATTATATCAAAAAAACTTTATTTGAAGTTAAATTCTTCAAAAACAGGTTTTAAAGAAGTCGATGATAATTTCTCAGATTTTTTCGGTCTTAGATTTTTTGCCTTTTCAACGTTTTTATTGGCACAAGCCTGAACCAAAATTTTAGCAATTCGGCTTGATATTGTAGCAGAAAAATGTTCTTTCAAAGTCTAGAAATATAACTTTACAGTTTTAATTACATAAAAAGTATTGTACTTAAAATTAATAATAATAATTGTATGTTCTTTAGATGTTTATTCTTTTTGTATTTTTGTTGGCAATCAATATTAACAGGAACGATACAATAGGCTGTATAGAATAACTGGAAAAAGCCTGTAATAACTAAAAAGAAAATTAATGTGTCGGACACATCAAATTTGTTGTATTTATCTCGTAAAACGTTGATGTGGCAAAAAATATCATCAGAGCAAAAGTGATGTACGTAAAAAACTCTACATAAAAAAAGGTTATATAAAATGTGTACCCAACCCTGTTAGATTATCCATGACTTGGAATCAAAAATTAATTAAACCCTAATGAAAACTTGAATAATAATGTTTGTTCGTCATATCAAAGAATTCTACGTAAAAAATAATATAAATGTGAATATAATGCTCACTTTTTCTTTCAAAATGAACTTTTGTTTTTCAAGCGATGCTGTAATTTCAAAAACTATTATTAACAATTATTTTAGCAAAAATGGCTCCCAGTGTAGACTGTTTATGGATTGAACCCTTAGATAACTCACCTGAAAATATAGCAGCTGCTGAACGACAAATGCAATTTGAAGTATGTGTTATTTTTATTACGTTATCTATTTACTCTATATAAAAAGATAAATCTTTTTTAAATTTCATTTGATACCTATTTATTTTTTAGTGCGGCTTATACTTTAATCCTATCTACGTAGGAGATTGGCCGAAAGTGGTAAAAGACAGAATTTACTATAGAAGTATGGCAGAAGGCTTCAAAACATCTCGTCTTCCTTCATTTACTCCTGAAGAAATTAAGTTCATAAGAGGCACTGCTGACTTTATTGCATTAAATCATTATTTTACAACTCTAGCTTCAGACACGATGGAAGCTCCTTTCTATGAAACTAGTTACGAAAATGATAAGGGGGTTAATATTTCGCTTCATCCTTCTTGGGTCGTACAAGATAATGGCAGAAACACAGTAAGTTTCAATTAAATACAATTCTTATAAATTTTCCTATTTGCTTCTGTTATTATTAAGATTTATAGGTCCAGACTTGTCCATATTTTATTTCAGTACATAATGTATACAACTCATAAACATATATTCAACTTAAAAAGGATCGTACTATAAATTGAATTATTCTGATGAATGTTTGGCCCTAGGTCCCTTCTATCACTTTCCAATAGTTGTTTCTTTACACCCTCGTATTATAAGTATCTATTATATTAACAACTTTATATTTAAAATTTCAGATTGTTCCATTTGGCGTCAGAAAAGTTTTAAATTGGGTTAAGCAACGTTATGGAAACTATGAAATTATATTGACAGAAATTGGAATGACCGAAAATGGTACCTCTATTGACGATGATATTAGAATATCATATTTTACGGTAAATATAATTATTTAACCAAATATTAGATCTGATTAATTCTTAAACAGTTTAGTTTATTTTTTTTTTATTAATAATAAAATTTACTCTGGCATTTTTAAATATTTTGTGATATTTCGATAGAATTGTGCAGACGTTCCCTTTCTATTGTATTTTATTTCTTTTTTATATAAATAATGTTCTTGAATTTATTGCATATTGCAAATTTAACTCTATTATTATTTATAGTAAATTAATTCATCTGCTCAGATTATGCATTCTTTAACTGTGCTATAATAACAAAATTAAAGAATAATTTAAAAATTTTAAAATACTTTCTTTTGTATAACCCTGTATAAAAAATAAAAAGTCCTCGAAGAATCTTAAATATTATTCCAAAGCAGCCTACAAAAATCTCAGTTAGTTCAGTAACATAGAAGTATAATTTTCCGTCTCACTTAAATCACAGAACTTAACGATTGCACTAAAATCCCCTCTCCACTGAAAACTTTATAAAGGGTGTTTCTTAATGACATGCTAATATTTAAGGAGGTGATATTTGGGCCCATTTTATGAAAAAAACTCCTAACTTTTGAGATACAGGGCGGTAAAATTTTCAAAATAAAAATAGTTTTTATAATAGCTGTGATGCTATTGTAGATATCTTTATAACATTAAGCACATGTCTTATATGGGGGTCTTAAAAAAATCGATGCCTCAAAATAACAAGTGTTTTTTTAAAACCAAAATCATGTTATTAAACAGGACCAATTGGACTGCCAACGTACCAAATTTTAAGTGCTTTCACTTACACTTTCCATGTTAACCCATTAAAGTTTTTTCACTCACAAAAAACCGTGTTTCCAACAGCTGATTTTTGACAGCTGACAATCGATAGAGTGACAGTTCACTTAGTTTTCAATGTTGCCAATCGAAAGAGCACTTATTTCTGAATAGTTTGACAGTTAGTTCGGGTTTTGTAGAGCGATCCCACAAAACATAAGAAATGTTTAGAACATTTTACCACCTTTCGTTCCTATTTACCCTTTAGTTTGGATCCGCCCCCTTTTACGGTACACGTTGTGAAACTTCGATGATTTTTGGTTAACACTTTTTGTGATAAAAAACCATATAAGATTGTCCATATCTTATTTATATATGGATGAGTAATCTATGTAACTATATACATTAATATACATTATCTTAATTCCATACATTTTGAGGGGCACTGTTTGCATATAGAGATAATTTTCCTCACCTCTATAATCAATAGCAACCGATACACTCGGCTTTTAATTACTTTTAAATTCAACAAAATTCAACTTAAATTCATACACTATATTCATGAGCATCAAACCATTAATAATTTATTTGTTTAGGACTACTTCTGCAATATACTGGATGCAAAATACGAAGATAAAGTCAATGTAAAAGGAATCATAGCTTGGAGTCTGATGGATAATTTTGAATGGATGTCTGGATACACGTAAGTCTTATATCATATTTTCATTTTTTTATACAAGTTTCGAAGTACAATAGATTATATTTTATCAAATTTGTAAGACAAAAAATCTTTTACTTAATTCATGTCCTAAAATATCTAGGTTTCTTAGTATTGACCACTATCCACCATAAAGCTGATCATTGTACAAATATTATCGAAACACCTCTTAATCGCCTAAGTAGATTGTATAAAACTTCCTATAACAAAAAAGTTATTACATATCAATTTTAATTCTGGAAAAATTGAGAAAGGTAGTGCCTCTCCTACTACAGCACCAACCAGAACCAAATAATTTCTTTCTAAATTATCAAAATTATTTAAAATATTGGCTATTTTACAATGCATTTAACCATTTTTAAATTAACCGATTTTGAATTACATCTGCCTAGTGTTTTGTGATACTTATTTACAATTGGCAACTGTTTTTCTTGTATGTTTGAATTCGATTTTTCGTTTCTATTCAGACATATCCCAATTTTTGATCTAGTCACAGTTGCGCTGCTGTATAATATTTGTCCTAGAATGTCTTCATACCCGCAAACAGTTATTGTCCTATTCAGGAATGTTTAGAGAGCCCTAACTTCTGATTTCTTGTTTTAGGTCTCATTTTGGATTGTACTACGTCAATTCCAAGGATCCTCAGAAAAGAAGAGTACCAAAGAAGTCTGTAAAATTTTTTCAACAACTAACCCAAACAGGAAAATTGAAATGTGATAAACCAAGTAGAAACTGGGCAGGTCCAGTACAATTTAATATGAACGGCAAACCTATTTTTCCGGGACATAATCATGATTATCATCATCATCATCATCATCATCCTTATAACAGATACTAAATTCGGGCCGCAGAAAAAAAAGATGTGCAATAATAATATAAAGGGCTTGTTAAACCTATTTTTTAGGTAGGTATGTACAATTGAATATAAAATTAAAAGATCATAAGCATTTATTGTTTACTGCAATTTACAAGCCACCTCTAATCAATCAGGATGAATGTATTGAGCCTTTAGGAAATTACCTAGAAAATTGATGATCATATAATAATAGAAGATATCAATGTAAATATAAGAAATATAAATGATTCAGTTTCTAATTAATTAGACGTTTTATCATAAAATAATTTTATTTCACTCATTAACAAATATACAAAAATTCAATGTAGTTCTAAGAGTTGTATAGATCATATATTTTATTCTATAAAACAGACATATTGAAAACTGTACTGCATTAACATTTGAAACAAGAATTACCGATCATAAAGCTACAATAGCCTTTCTCCCGTTAAAACAAAATATGGTGAAATCAATAAAAAAAATAAAATAAAACAAATAAACTATACAAATTTAAAACATGAATTTAAAAAACATAACTAAACATCCTACCTCAATATTTTGGACAAAGACAAAAAGCTATTATATCTAACAAATACTATAAATAACTTAATAACTAAAAATACTTATACAGTCAGAAAAAAAGATATTGTAATAAAAAGAAAAGAATGGATAACTAGTGGTATATTACATTCAATTAAACACAGAAATAAGCTCCATAAAGAACAGAAATATCCCAGATAATATTTAAAAAAAAAGATATACAACATATAGAAAAAATGTGGACAAATTAATAAAAAAAAAACAGAAACAGAATATTATAGAAAACAAATTATAAAAAATAAAAATTATTTAAAAAATTTATGGAAAGTTATAAATGACATAAGCGGGAAAAAATTATTTAATAGCATTAGATAGAGAATGTTAATCTAACATAAATAATGAAAAAACTGAATCACTTGTGTTTCCATGTGTATATATATTTTATATATGTATATTAAAATTTTCCTATATTAATTTTTATCATGAATATTTATTATATACTTATTTATTTATTTATATTACTTACTATTTATTTTATTTATTGTATATATGTTTTAATTGTTTAAATAAGCCAAATTTGTAAAAAGTAGCCCATGTGCAACCTCTTAGAGGTCATCCATGGGTGTCTTTCTTACTTTATTCGTACTATTTCTAATTAATTAATTAATTTATATTGTTTTCTTTTAAATAACGATTATAATTATTATAATTTAATGATGTCACATTTAACGATAATAAAGATTTGTTATGAAGTCAAAAATAATTTATTTTTAATAGTTGCTGGTGGACTCGCAATAGTATAAATGTCACACAAAACCCGTTACAATTATTCCCTTATACGCAAGGTGAATTATTAGAACTCATACTCAATAAAATATAAAATAAAAAATCTTGCGGTTTCGATGAAATATCTGCCTTTCTGCTAAAAAAAGTTGTTCTTTTCATAATATCTCTTTTGACTTTTCTAGTTAACCTTTCATTCTGCAATGTTGATTTTCCAGACTACATGAAAACAGGAAAAATAGTTCCTGTCTTCAAAACAGGTGACCCAAAACTTGTTATTAATTATCGTCCCATAAGGTCCCTTCCATTTTTCAAAAATATTCGAGTATAGCTATTTAGGGAGACTAAGTGAATACTTAAGCAAAAATAATATAATGTTTCAAGAACAACATGGTTTTCTAATATCACGTTCTACTAATACAGCAATTCATATATTTTATGAAAATTTAACCAACTTAATAGACGCTGGCCAATGCTCTGTTGGGATCATCTGAGATCTCAGCAGGGCATTTGACTGTGTCGATCACAATATTTTATTTAGCAAATAAATAGTATCGGTGTTATTAATCAGTCTCTTCAATGAATAAAATCTTTTTTATGGTAGTTCACTCGTAAAACGGCCTTTCTTAAGAATTCAATAAAATTGAAATATGAGGTTAATGAAAGTGTCTTTTATGTACCTAACAAAAATAAAAATTTTGGACCGTCCGTAAAACGAGATATTAACAATCAAAATGTGCATAATTAACACTCTTGAAGCCCTGCCATGTACACAATCATTGCATTTATTTCAAGATATCTCGAAAACGGTTCTTACCATATTATTTTAAAACTAATGTAATGTAAATCAAGAAGTTATAAAATTTTCTAAAAAAAACGCTGAATTTTTTTACCGTTTTGATAAAGAAATATAGATTTTTAAAATAAAAATGTTCTTAAAGCAGTCGACGCATAGTGGCGTATTGTGATTACAAGTTGGCAACGTTGTAATCGATACACTCAACGCCCGCTAATTCAAATGTCTGTTAGATCAGTGCTTCCCAACCTTTTTATTGCCGCGGACAAGTCAAGTTTATCACTTTATCGAGGCCTTCTGGGAAGGGACGTTGTTTATACTTTAGGTTGATATGATTTAACAATTTAAATTTAATTGTATTTAAAAATGTCTTCAAAATTAAATAAATATGCAAAAGATGAATATAATTTTATTTAAACATGCCTTCAAAATAAAATACAGTTACACAAAAAAATTAATATAAAGTAATTTAAAATTTTAACTTACTAGTATGAGGAAGTCATAAAAAAATACAAATAAAAGTAATGATTTTCTGTAGTATTGATGATATCGTAGGAATGTTCATGACAGCAAGAAATTTATTTAAAGCAGTTTGACCAAACCGTGAATGGACAGCACCTTTAAATAAATAAAATTATATTAATTATATTAAAAAAATTATGAACATAACAAATACTTATGTATTTTTTTTAAATTTACCTAGAACTGCTTTAGTGTTGACATCTGAATGCTTAACTTCACTTTTTGTTGCATGAACTTGGTTCGTAGGTACTATTGTTTCAATATTACATTCATTACATTTAACATTTAAAATTGAATAAAGGCCCATCGTGTTTCATTTGTGATATTTTCAAGAGGAAGAACTCTTTCACACAAGCAACATTTTAAATGTTTTCCCAACTCTAGTAATTCCACGATGCGACGACTGCACAGGTTATTTTTCAAGCTTGGGGTTTCGTTTCTTAATTTTTTTGCATTATTCATAGCCAAAATTGATTTTTTACGTTTGTTGAGGACGTTCTGCTTAAAAAATTTTCCTTTATCTCGCAATTAATTGATTCTGACAATGAAACATTTTGATATTTACATTTATTTTACTTTAGGAATACAGTTGACGTTTCAGAATATATTTGCGATGTTGCCGGATGGATTTTACGCGATATAATACCACATTTGTATATAGGATCACATTTGTTGTGTGTACAGTCTGTTACAAAAATAATCTTTCTTTAGATTTAAGAATCTCGAACGGTTGGTATTCACTATAGGGCGATATTTTTGTGTACGACTGTCACGAGTGAACTACCTTAAGAAAGAGTCGAAAAAAAGTTAATAAAAAGTTACAAATCCGACTATGTTTTTACTAATATTGGTGTGCCATAAGGTTTTTTTGTATCTTATTCTTGGTATATGTAAATTATTTGGTTAAAATTAGTCAAAATACACATATTACACGATATGCATATGGCACATCAGCTCTTGTCTCTGACAAAAATGCCCTTACATTAGAAAATAAATGCAACCAGTTTTTTTCCAATCTTTTTAATGGTTCTGTATAAAACATCTTTATTTAAATGCAGAAAAAACCCATCTTATACAATTTCATAATAAACAAAAGCAAATCAGCTCACTCAATGTTTTCATCAATAACAGAAAAATTGACGATACTCGATGTGTTAAATTCCTTGGTTTATACATTGATGAATGCCTTGACTGGAACATTGCGAGACAGTCACTTCAAAACTAAACTCAGTAAATTACTTATTTAGATATTTAAAAACAGTTCTAACCGAAAAACAGCTAATCATGTTGTACTATGCACATGCTGAGTCGATTTTAAGGTATATGTGGTTCATTCCCAAAAATCATGGGATTTTATAATCTAGAGATAATAAATATCCATAAATAAAATGTATTATTCTGGATTTAAAATTAAATATTCTTTTATGGAATACACTCTTAAGAAACTAAGATAGAGCAGAAAATAAAATAAAATAGTACCTGCATAAAGAATACATAGACACAGATCTAGAAAAATATGCCTTTTAGAATTTGCAACTATTTTTAATTCAGATGGCTTGGAAATGGAAAGATCTATTTTTAGAAAAGTATATCTAGATCTTCTCGCGCAAAATTGGGAGAAATTTGGGAGAAAGTGAAAAGGTCACTACTAATACTATCCCTCAACCTACTCTCTCACAAATTTTAAATATCCTGCAAAGAATGCAACAAAATAGTCAAAATGAAAGATGCTTCAATTGTGGAAGAATCGGACACCTTCAAAGGACTTGTCGAAGTAGGGCTCGTTCTATAAATCGGAAATCAGGGAATGATACCAGAAATACACCTAGATCAACCTCCCGAAGCCTGTCACGAATTCCTTCAAGAAATAATTACAGCAACTATGCCTCCCGGAGAAGCCGGTCACCCACACCTAGCCGGTTTTCTAGCAATAGTCAGGAAAACGAATAAAGGTCGACACTACGGGGCAGGCGTCGGCTATAACAGAGAGCCCCAAAATTCGCACTTACACCTTAAATAAAAACAAATAAAATTTATTGGTTAGGGGGTATATCGACAACCAAGAAGGCACCTTCGTCCTTGATACTGGTGCAACCAAGTCTTTTATTAGCCGGAGAGGCTAGCCGCGAGCTTAGTGTGCATCCACTTACTCGCAACAGTTAAGCAGTGATCTCTCCGGTCACGTCGTGGGTGGGTGATCGCTGGGAGGTTCCACCATGGGCCGTGTCACCATGGGATTCATCCGACTAGCGTTTAACCATCGACGACGTGGAATGAATGAATGAGGGTGTGAATGGGAAAGTAGTAGGACCTTCAAATGGTGGTACAATAAGCCGCAGGCTGCAGTGCTGTCAGACTACAGACGGATTAGGGTGTAGCACGGGAGGTCTGAAGGGTGTAAAACTAAAAAA